TTATAGGAAATATAGGATATATAGGAGGTCTGGGATGCCTGAACGTAGGACTGAAATGAAGGAATTCTTAAATGTTAAATTCTCCCGTTGCATGAAATAAATCGTTTAGTCTATTCCATCGGAAATCTTCACCCCAGAGTCGTGTCATTCTACTAAAAGAACATATACTACACATGCTCGACAAAATGTATTAGGCGGTCAAAACTCGTGCCCAGAGCCTTTTTTCTCTCTTTATCGTTCCTGACCAAGAGAAATGGAGGCTGTGGGAACGAGACTGCATTTGGTCGAGCGTGCGCAAATAGAGACCCTTAGATTTATTACTTAGCGTCCCCGCGCGTGCGCGAATAGCTAGTACGCGTCACAATTATCCTGATTTGACGTCATTGCTAATGAATCAACTGCTTGAGCAAACTATAAAACAGTCGTGGTTGTCGGAAAATCATGGAAGAAGAGTTTGATATTAATGAAGAAGAATTTGAACAAAATTGAAGTTTTGCCTACTAACGTTTGGTTTGCCAGTCATAGCAGGAAGATTAGGCCTAGAACAATCTACATTCGAAGCATGTAAGTTCAATTCCACGGTTTTTAAGTCTTGAACATCTGCGACCAGAAGCTAAACAATCTTTAGGTGACTGAAGGTGCAGACACACGACGCGACATCACATAAGAAAGGTTGAATTTTTTCCGGTCTTACACGGTGCGATGTAAGTAGAAATTACTTCTACATCTGCTTTTCGCATGCAAAATCGCACAATGTGTTCTCAACTTAAGCCTTGATTAAGTACTGTTACAAGACTATTGAGTTGTAACAATATTTATGTACCTTTTCATGTGCAACCGAGCGCAAGCGTTAAACAAAGAAATGATACTCTAGGGAATAACACGTGGTCTGAAATGGGAACCCATTACACCCGAGCCGATTAGGTCTATATCGTACCGTTTCCCTCCTAAACGTCAAAAATACAAAGTCTTCTCCATCCATATCAAATTTGGTAAAAATATTTCTGTATGGAAAGAAACTGATGACCTTCTTATGAATTGCCCTATTTCACTATGACGTCACATCAAAACAATCTATTGTTTAAACGCAAAGGATCATGGTCG